ATTCCACATACCCACTTGATCTGAACAATCTTCTGAGTTTGTTACACCATGTCATTTCTCTTCTTAGAACTCATCATAGTCTTCCCATAGCTTTTAAGATAAAATCTAAATTCCTGCCTCAGCCTACAAAGGCCACACATGATCTGGCCTTTTTGTTATTTGCAATAATATATACTTTGTTTTACATGACTCAGACTAGCTATACTCACTTATTGAAATGGCCATCCCTGGATCTCTGTGTTTGGGTCCTCCTTGTCTTTCTCACCTTCTTAGAGAGGTAACTTTGGCCACCCAGTCACTTTCTGTTCTAGCAGACTGTTTTATTTCTGTGTATGAGAACATATAAGGATATATCTTTGATCAATTAAAAGCGATTGTCTTTATTTATAATTACTATAGAAATTGAACTTATAGTCAGTAATACAATTGAATTGTTCATTGATGGTGACTTTTATGTCTTTAAAATCTACCTTGTATAATAACAACATTTGAAATTCCTGCAAAAACACAAATACTCTTTTCAATAAGAATGAACTCATTTAAATCTGGTAGGACTCACTTTTCTTGCTCTATGCAATTACTAACAGAAAAAGAACAGGCCAAACATAAATTGCATTACGTGTTTTAATTCTGCCATCTACATACTGTGTTAACTTGACCAAGGTTAATTTAACTTTGTCCAATTCAATCAGCTGTAAATGTAAATCATTTAATTATCTTATGGCCATATCTATCATACCGACTGGGTTAAGTGGTCTTTTGATTGAGAGGTTTGGGGGAGTTCTCAAGTCAACATTATTGTAGTTTTATACAATGATTATTTATTTCTATAATTAGTTTAATTTTTGTCTACACCACTAGACTGCAAGTCTCAAGACATCAAAGATGCCAACTATCTTGTTTGTCTAAGAATCCTTGGCATCAAATTAAGTGCCTAAACAGAGGACCCTCAATATTTATTGAATTACTTACTTAAGTTCTGAGTATCAAATATTATGAATTTTAAAATCCACTGCAAATGTACAGAATTAAATTATTCTCTGCCCTACTGTAACCTCTTCTCATTCTTCTTTAAACCCATGGAAAGAAACCCACCCTGAGGGTAAGTGGATAACAAGAAAATATTTCTATAGAGGCCTCTATCTATCTATGTGACTATGAAAAGTCCCCCAAATTAGTGAGTCAGCACCATTCTGGTAGTTTAATCACATATATCTCTTGAAGGAAATACCATATTAGCCACCAGGAGTAATTCAGTAACCAGACCACTCATCCGGAACTGAGTCTGGTCATAGAACCTCAGGTTGACTCTATAGTAATGAGCCTTGGTGCCCTTGGACGTTTGGTTGGTCTCTGTGAGGGGGAGGGATAGCCCTGGTTGGTTTTAGGCCCCAGACAGAAACAAACATTCTCAGAAAGGCCTTCCAAAGTTTAACCCCCACCCCCACCTCTCAGAATAGGAACCTGGTCATGGTTCTACTTTCTAGGGCCTGGAGTAGAAGAGCAAGTAGTGTTGGTACCTGGAGCATAATACACTCAGAGAGACATGCTAAGTTGAGTTGCTGGCTCTAATTCTGGCCCCACAGTTAGCGAGTTATTTTCAAGCCAGCTGCATTCTCTCTTACTGTATTGGTTAAAGGAGGCTAATGATGTTTTTCTAATATATAAATATTGTGTGTATATGTGTGTTCAAGTGTTACAGGTACATGTATTCTTTATGAAGAATAAAGATTTCTTCAGAAGTTAAATTTTATTAGCAGTCATGAAACTCATGAAAATAAAAGAGGTGAATGGGCTATGACTTTGAAGAAAATGTAGCACGGTGGCCAATAAATTGACACTGAGTCTGTATGTGATAGAGGAAATAGTATTTGAACTGGTAGGGTGAAGAAAGCATGGATACACGGTGAAATGCTTGAAATTGTTTTCTTAGAAATAATTCTAGTAGAGAAGATGAATTATGTTGATGGCTGTCTTAAAATACAGAGCTAAAGAGTTGGGTTTTATATTAAAATATCTGTTGAGAGGTTATGGAACTGATTGACAAAAATTGTTTTAGGAAGATTGATTTGGCATTAAGTGATGGGTTACATAAATATTAAAAGGTGCTAATTGACCTCACAGGGACATCTTTGTAATGTTTTCTCCATCTTTAATTTCCTTTAAGTTTTGTTTTGGCATCAGTAAAAATACCTAATCTGGAGATATCTGAATGTATAAATTAAAACATTGCTTTTGGTAAATTAAGCACCGTATTAAGAATAAATGCTTAAAGATGGATTGACTGATAGTAAAGAAATGTTCTTTATTTGCATGAACCCAAAGTACTATTAACAACAAAAATTAAACTATGGTTTTCATAAAGTGTTTATGTAGTTTCAAGGATAAAACTGCTATCCCAATACAGACTCCTAATATAAGAAGTGCTCTTGTTGATGTTTGTTTTGTCTTTTGTTTTTGAAACATCAGGTCAAGCTCTGGTGTGGTCTATGAAGAGAAAATATTTTGTCATTGTAATAAGAAAGAATTCTTCTTCATCACACATTTTATCTAAAATGAGATATACAAGATTTTTGCATTAGAGAAATATGTAATGAAATTCAAGAGTATTTCATTATGAATGAAATATTCATCATCAATATTTAAAATTAATCCACACAGTGGGTATTTTACCTTGTTATGATTGTAGAATTTGGAGTATTCTTTGTAAGGAATTGATAAGACACAGAACATTTAAGGACCATAGCTCTCCTACTTACAGACTATGTTTTAAAAGTTTGTTGGCAAACTTTGTTCTAATTATTCTCAAGTTCTGAAGAGTAAATCCTGCTATACTGGCAGCAAAACTCCCTGAACATGAATGAACTTAATATATTGTTGCAGTCAGATAAAATTATAAAAATGTAAAATTCATGCATAATAAAAAATCTGTACAATAGTTATCCTACAAAGAAAGTAGTCACAAATGATAGAAGTTCACATGAATGTATACATTTTGAAGTGTTTTTACACAAAAAAAGACTTTATAGAAAAGTGTGTTGTGATTTTAATCCTCAAAACACTAGAGGATTCAGTTACTAAAGTAATAATTTAGAATGTTCTCAAAATAAATTGTTGATTTTACTCAGTTTCTTCTCAGTTCTTAATTTCAGGATGATGTTATATTCTTCAACTCTAAAAGTTAATAGAATGACTTACAGGTTTCTCACATGAAATCTACCCTTAAGCAGTGGTATTATCATAAATAACACAAAGTGAGCTTTATTGAAAAAAAAGAAGAGTAAAAAGGAAAGGTACAACATTTTATGTATATTCTGATATTCACAGCATAACACAAAAGCAGACTTGTGTGCACACACACACACACACGCAAAAATCCACACAAGAAAAAATAGTAAATGTTAGTAGTGTTCTGCATTAAATGGTGGAACTAAGGGTCTTTATATTTACTATTTTCATTTTTAGGTGTTTTATGAATTTGCTAGACTTAATGCTTTCATTTTCTTTAAAAATGTGTATAAAATAATTTTTTAATTATGAAAGGAGGAGGGCATGTCAGTCCACTGCAGTATTCTTGCCTGGAGAATCCCATGCACAGAGGAGCCTGGCAGGCTATGGTCCACAGTGTTGCAAAGAGTTGGACATGACTGAAGCAACTTAGCACACATGCATGCATTTCCAAAAACCACTACAGTCTAAGATACAAGGGGTTGGGACTTCAACCTATCAATTTTGGGTGGCGCTAGGAAATGGCAACCCACTCCAGTATTCTTACCTGGAGCATCCCGTGGACAGAGGAGCCTGGAGGGCTACAGTCCATGGGGTCACAACAAAGGAGTTGGACATGACTTAGTGACGGAACAATGACAACAATTCAACCCATAACAATCTATTTCCCCTCAGATTCCAGAATAGCTTTATGTTCCTCATGTGACCGTTTTTCTAGCGATCTTCTTTAGATTCCTATACTACTTCCTAAAACAATTGTGCATTCTAGAGCTGCCAGAGGGCAAGCCCACATCCCAGTTCTTCATTACTTCTTGATCTCCCTTTTTTTTGATAGACCTGCCAGGGTGGGGAGAGGGAATACAACCAATGAATTCCAGAAAGAGGTTTTCCAGAAGAGTAATCTCTCATGGAAATGAATGCTTCTATCCTTTGGCTCAGATTGCAGCTAGTGTTGTAAATAACATTTTTCTTCTGACTACTCTCTTTGTATCACATCCAGACATTTATTAAAACTATTTGCTGCATCCATCTGCCTCAGCCTGTAGGTTGTAAGGTCTTTGTAGGCAAAGATCCTGTCTTTATTATTGTATTCCTCACAACCTCCATGTGAAAACCTTCATATGATAGGATCTGCCTTCTTTTTTCTAGCTTTCTTTTTATGCCTGTGGAAAAGCTGTGAATTTCTTTCAGGGTTACGTACTTAATAAAATTATTTCTTCTTTAAAATTTTAGGCTAAATTTTACACATTGGATCTTAAGTATCATTCTTGAATTTGCCCTTAAACACTACCTATGTAGTCCCATTAGCACAGATTACCTTATATTAGTTCTAGATTTTTTTGTTAAATCTCATAGCTACTTAGATTTATTAAATATAAGCTTTTTTTTTTCTGATGAGATAAAATTCTAGTTGGCCATGAATTTGTTTCTTCTTTTAAAATGCTGCTTGTTTTTGAAATTTTATATAGGGTAAATTTATAGCCAACCTTAGATGACTTTTTTCAGTTAAATCATATATATGTACACATATACATATATGTATATACATATAATATGCATACATGCTTGTGTGTATGCATATATACATACAATTATACATACATATTACCTAGGTCATAGAAATATTAATACAAATTTTTTGTTTAGGAATAATTGCATTTCTTACGTTCTGATTTCTATGTGTGATGGCCGAAGCTTTTGTTACTTCTCTGAAAAATAGCCCCACAATTAATAGAAGTACTGACCTCCATTACAGTCACTTCACCAAGTCATTGTCTTGGTGAAGCATTCCGTCACTAATGGGTCCTTCAGCATGTCGTACTCACAGATAGGAGATGCTATTAAAAGTGGAACGTGATTGTAGGCTTTGTTTTTTCTTTGGCTTTGAGTGCTAAGAAGCCCATTTGATTAGAGTCAGATTTTCCAAATGAGTCCTCTTTTGGAGGGAGCTAATAAAGTACATTCAGAACCAGGCTAACTACTTTCACCTAACTTTGAGCATGTCTTATAGAACAAGTTTAAATTAGCCTCAGATTGGTCTCTTGCTTTATCTAGAATCTAAATAATCACTGTCAGTTACAAAGATTAGCTTCAACTTCCTACTTGATCTTTTTCTGTGTTTAAAAACATGTCTTCTGAGATACAGGTAGGCTACATGTATAGTAATGAAAGTATTTTGGAGGGCTCACAGAAGAATTCCTATGATTTCTGCCCATGCTTAGCAGTCTCTCCTTTTGGAGTCATGAGTATCAGATTGCCTTCAGCCCTGTTTTCTGTGTGTTAGTGTGGTTTTAACCTGTCAGGAGAGGTTGTCCTCCTTCTTTGTGCATGGTTGAATGCTGCAGGCATCCCTCTGAGCTCTTCTCACACTATTAATTAAATCAGAAGTATTATTACAGCATTTAAAAGAACATATCAGGCAGCTAACATTTTCCACCCACCTGCATTTACCAGAAGCAATTGTGCTCCCACTTACTTACCTGCCGCTCATGTCCTGAGGTTAAGAGAATGTTCATTTGTGCTTACAGACCAGTACGTTCTTAGATGGCATATAGTCACAGGCATTAGGCCTGAAAGGAATGTGTGGGGAAACAAAGATAAGAGGAATGGTGAAAATAATTACTGTTGCTCATAAGCAGTGGGTTTCATCTGACATAAAAGGAATGGTAAGAAAATGAATACATGTAAAAAAATGCAAAGAAATACCCTGTTCAGACATCAAGCAACTTAAGTCAGAAAGAAGTACACTTGGTAGAAAGTGGGGCCATAGAAGGGATACACAAACATAAGATATATTTAAGTCCTCATGCCTTCTAATGGATGGCTGTCTGATTTCTCTTTTTGTGTTTTATGATGTATTCAGCACACACATACTCCATGCCCAACTTAAGAAATAGATAAACATATTGAAGATGCCAGGGTTTGTGATTTCTCTAGTTTAAGTCCTTAGATACACATATTCAAGAAATATAGGATCTTATTGGGCTCTGTTCATACCTTGGATTCTTCTAATGAAAGGATCCAATTATCTTACCACTAATCTAATCAATTGCTAATGAACAGGCTGTTAGTGTCTAATGTGCCAATTGGAAATGTTTAGATAAGGCATAGGAGTAATTGTTCCAAATACAACATATGCCAACTGCCTTCCCCCAAAGTCTGACAAATCAAATCAATTCATCCTCTCTCCTACCATTCTATTTTGTGATGGGCTAGGCAATACAAACGGCTAGAAAGTGACTCAAGACTAGGTGGGATGTGATTGATAAGAAAGATTCAAACATTTTTTTTTTTTTAAATAGGGCAAAGTAAATAGGTCTTTGACTTTGGTACCTAGAATTATTCCCTAATCCTAGCCACCATTAATAAAGCAAAGCAGAAATGGTAAACCTTAAGAGCACAGAATTGATCTACTATTTTTACATTTCCAGCCCTAAATGCCAAGTTGCTACTCAATACATGGTTTTCTAAAGTAATAAATGAACAGATGCATTGCTTCTCGGGCACTTCCTCCAGAACTCCTTGGAGATCATATGCCTGGACTTCTTTGATCCTTTGGGACTTTTCTCCATGTTTCCTTGAAACTTTTTATCCCATTATGTTAAAGTATGTGTGGGAAGATCCCGAATGGCAATTCTATGTGCAGACAAATATGAATGGCCACTTGAAGATATAGTGATAAGTTAATCTGAGTAGTCAGTACCGAAAGCTATATTGCTGGAAAAATGCACTGATTCTTACTGCTTATCAGTCCTGGTCTTCACCTTTATGAAAAGTTGATGAGTCATAAAAAGAGTTGCTTTTGATAGAAGTAAGATATTGACTTCAAGGAAATCCAAGTCTCTCTTGGCCCACTTCACTAGAACAGCAATAAAAAGTTTCCTTAAGGTAAACTGCAGTTTATTCTCCAGAATATTGTCTTGGAACACATCATCCTAAGGATAATGAACTCAACTCTGATTGAGTTCCTGCTTTCAAGTTCTGTTCCCTGGTGTTTTACTTTCCTAATGTTCAAGTGCCACCCAAAAGCTACTAAGGGCTATACAGTTTTTACACAGTATAGATACCTGAAGCTATGTTGACCTCTGATCCCATTCTGAGTTACCAAGATGACGTGATTGGTCTGATACAGAGTGATTTCATAATGTTGTGTTGACGATGGGACAAGTCTATATCTTTATCATTTTTTCCATTTGAAAGGCTTCAGCATCGTGAGCCTATGTGTTGATATCATACTGAAAAAAATTATTTTTTTAAGGACTGATCAATTCAAGGGGAAATAATCATTACACATTGATGGATTAACTAATTAAAATTTTATTAGATACATAGTAAAAATGTACTTTAGCTTAAAAAAGAACTAAACTCCTAGTCTCCATTCTCAATAAGTTTAAAATATAATTTGAATATGATATTTTATAATAACTACCATTGAAAGGCTCAGATAAATCAAAATTTGTTTCATGGAATCTAGGTTTTCTTTAGTATTGCAAAAGAGATTTCATACATGATAAAGATATCATAGAAGATGGGCAGATATTTAAAAATAGTCCAAAGTTTAAAACAAGACTGTTCATTTCTTTACATTCTAATAACTCCAAAAGTCCTCTTTGGCAGGGAAGAATAATTACCAAATACATTTTTCAAATCCATGTTTGTTTTATTAACAATTCTTAGCTTTTTATTTGTATGTACTACTCTTTAAAAATTATACTGAAACCAACAGTACCTATTATTAAAATATAACATGAACATCTCACATTTTTGTTTTGTAGTAGGGTTTTTATTCAGTCAGCAATTTTGTATAGAAACAGGTCTGCTGCTGCTGCTGCTAAGTCTCTTCAGTCGTGTCCGACTCTGTGCGACCCCATAGACGGCAGCCCACCAGGCTCCCCCGTCCCTGGGATTCTCCAGGCAAGAATATTGGAGTGGGTTGCCATTTCCTTCTCTAATGCATGAAAGTGAAAAGTGAAAGTGAAGTCGCTCAGTCATGTCCCCATGGACTGCAGCCCACTAGGCTCCTCCATCCACAGGATTTTCCAGGCAAGGGTACTGGAGTGGGTTGTCATTTCCTTCGCTGAGAAACAGGTCTACATAAAGACAAAATGTCTTTCATTTAATAGATCACTCATATCAAAGTTTAAAAAAAGCATTCCAGCTAGTAAATTTACTATTGTATTCTAGCACTGAGCATAACTAATGGGCTTCATTTTTTTTATTCTCATGTCAGATGTAACTTGGCATAGCAAAGCTTACTTTTCTTCCAAATATCGGGAGGATTTTAGGCTTCTGTGGCATTCCCTCTGGTGTTTACTTGCAGTTGAGATTAATGCCTTATTCCTAAGGCATCTGGACTGTTGTCATCCAACAACTCTCCTATATTCATATGTCCTCAGTCATTAGTTCCAGCAAATGGCAGCAAATATCTACCCTGAATAAGGCCCACATACAATGAAGGAGTTTGGCCTACTAGGATCCATTTTTCTTTATTCTTATAAAAGCAGCTAGCTTTTTCTTTGGGAAACTGTTACTCCTGCATTCCACTTGCATTTTGAATGTGAAACACATTGAAGGTGCTGGAACATGGAACAGCCTAGACAACAGGTGGAATGCAGGAGTAATTCTTTAAGAAACTGGGGGAAAGCCACAGAGTCTAAGGCTGCAGAAAAAGTGCCGTGTTTGTGTTGTATGTCTCTGTCGTGTGTGTATAAAATTTTCTTCAGGAGAGAGCATGCATAAGACTAGGTAAATGTACACAACACTTACATCGAAAGAGCATGACTAATTCCCCAGCACTCCACTATGGATGCTGTTTATTTCTTATATAATAGTACACAATTGGCTTTTATATATTAATTCAAATAAGAAGCTGACTCTGTTAGCTACTGATTCTGTAAAATGAAACCCACTGTATAAAAATAACTTGGGTTCAGTACGTATTTTATTTCCATATATATATATATATATATATGCATAAATTCTGAATTTTAAGATTTGAGTAATATCTGTAATAAGATATTACAGTAATATCTGTAATAAGGAAAACAAGCAAATTCATACAGTCTACTTTGCATTTTCTTTTAAGATTTTCCTTTTTTAATAAGCTTTCCTGCTGATTAGGAATTACTGTATGAAAATATCTTAAAAAAATTTTTTTTTTCCCATAGAAAGTCAGTTTTTTTAATAATTATAGACCTAATCAAAACCTAGGTCCTTAATTTAACCTTACAGCAAGATGATCAAATTACCAAACATGATCACTAGGTCTGACTACCCCAACATTACTTTTTTGAGCTAATGTTGAAAACTATAATTTTATAATAAGATAAAAGCAGATTTCACTCACTTAATTAATCTCTATGTAATTAAATGGGAAAATTGGTTATATTTTATTAAAAAGTAATTATTTTCAACATTTTCCCTGAAAATAAAGTACCAGAATTCTCTTTGACAGATATGAATCTTTTGTGAAATAAGTGGAGACTTTATGGAATCAGTCTTTTCAAGTTCAAAAAAGACAATGACTATCCTGTTAAGATTACCCAGAATACTACCAATGGATGATACCTATAGGTTTCTTAAGTAGATAATTCAAAACTATGCACAATGGTAACTAAATCATTCACAAAAGCCTGGTCTAGGAGACTTAAAACCATAATTCACCCTGTACATTATAAGACAATAAAACAAAATGTTCATATACAGAGTATAAACTTCAAAGCGATGGTCAAGTATGCAAACCGATTGGTATTTTTAAAGACCAATTTTATGTATATGCCGCATGGATTTTTAGATAAGGTTTACAATCACTGGGCCAATTATCTTGTTCCAAAGCTAACAGAAATAAATAATAAATAAACAAACCCTGAAAACATACTCTAAAAAAAATAAGGTTTTATCAGGTTTAAACTTGTAGCATCTCTTCAGTCCCTCTGAGCTCTGAAACTTTTTATCATTCTGTGATTCTAAATAGGTACAAAAAAGTACTTAAGCTCCTTCACCATCAAGGAAAAGCCAGGTGAACTATGATTCTCTCAACTCAACAAAGGTTAACGCAACAAAGGCAAGGTATTTGGGAATTAGCAGAACCATGGCTCAGACAGTAGTGGAGACAGTCAAACCTGGAATGCCTAGCCCTGGTGGTCAAGGTGTTTCTAAAATGATGATTGTAAATAGGATACAGGTAGAGAGGCAGGCTCTTTACAGCCTCTTGATGAAAGTGAAAGAGGAGAGTGAAAAAGTTGGCTTAAAGCTCAACATTNTGCTTTCTCTCGCCCATCTGGATTTAGAGAAGGGACAATCACAATTCTAGTCCTGTCAACCAACTAAAACAGAAACAGAAATAAATGGGTTTATTAGCTCTGTGTGAAATCAAAAGATACCTTGCCATGCCTCAAACAGAAAAGTCTTCATTATTTGTTTTAAACACAGATTTAAAAGGCAGAACTGGAAAATAAATAAAATTCTTTCTTGCTCCAAATAAATTTTAAAAAGAATCAAAAACTGTACAACTAATGTTCCTAGAGACCTCCCGAAAACTTACATCAAGGGTCAAAAACCACTGCCTATAGAGGATAATCCCCTGGAGGAGGAAATGGCAACCCACTCCAGTATTCTTGCCAGGAAAATCCCATGGAGAGGAGCCCATAGTGTTGCAAAGTGTTGGACAAGACTGGGCGACTGAGTGCATACATGGGTGTTAGTGGCTCTAGTTTCAAATGTTAAAAGAAAAGGGTGGGAAGGTCACTAACAGATCCTGATAATATTCTTTTCAGCCACAGTCTTATCTAGCTATCAACAAAAAATAAACCATTGAGTGGATATACATTTGAGATATCTTAGAACTAAGCTCTTCTACAATAATTTTTATGAACTTTCTCTTAATTGAATCATTGTTATTAGACTCAAATTATTATTTCCTAAAGTGGCTCTCATTATGTATAATCCACTGCTTATATGAATATGCACATATCTGTAAACTTTCAATGGAATTTACATAATTTAGCCATTCCATTATATTAAAATATGATATAGAAAATGAATTTTATTACTTTTACGACATAATATCCAGATACCCACACTTAAACACTTTATTCCAATTTTGGTATTGTCACTGGGCTGGATAGTAGCAGAAAGAGGTTTATATTATCCTAATTTCACCTTAATTTTACAGATTCATATATAACAATTCAATTCAGTGCAGAGTTGTAGCATATTCTGTACATGCACTGGATTATCTAAATACCTATGGAAAAACCCTACATGGTGGTAAGACTTGATTGTTGCCTTCAAGGTGTATGTAGTCTTGGTAAGGACATAAACCGTGTGAATGTAAAGCAATTAAATAACAATACCAAGACAGTTTATTATAAAGTGCTGAATTAAATATCATCAAGTACCATAATTATATGGTGCAAACTCTAACTCTTATGGGCAGAAACTAGCCTGAGTTAATTGATCATTTTGAATAATTCAGGAAGAGTAGAGGAATGTAATTTATCTTTGTCTGAATTTTCCCAGTTAGGTCACCCAACCCTTTTTCTAACTTAGTCACATTCCTAGGCATGTGGCATTATTAACCTCCATTTCCTCTTGGTTTGCCTGCAGCTACATCTCTGTCTCATGATTCTTATATTTTTACTTAAGTCTCATATTCAAATAAACCAGACGTCAGACTAGAACTAATTACTATCTTCCAGAGGTATATTGAACACAAGAACAAGTAGTGAAGATTTTGAGGGAACAGAGCCCAGCTGAATGAGTTTCAGAAGAAGGTGGACTATACTTACCATTTTAAAGTTGGATATGAAAATTATTCCAAATCCTATAAAAAGGTGCAAGTATTTCTGTGTATAGGCAACTAATGACAAAGAAAAGAAGCTAAAGAAACTTAGCACAGTGTTTGAAGCATTCCACATTGGGACAAATAACCTATGTACATATACTAAGAAACTCCAAGAAGTTCTTTCATTGCATCATATGTGTGTGCTCAGTTGTGTTTGACCCTTTGTGCCCCATGAACTGTACCCCACCAGGCTTCTCTGTCC